AAGACTTACCTTCAGTCCAGTACCCCTCAGGACTGAAGAGTGAAATATCTCAAGGGGGGATTTTGTAAGCAGATTGGGTAGAGGGTCCCCAGAGAAAGAGAACCAGGCATGGCTTTCTTGACAAAGAGAAGCCACTTTTGGCCTAAGTCATTTTGTGATCTAAGCCTGGCCACAGTGCTTGTCCTCGAACAGATCTCAGTAATTAATGATCTTAAGGGAACAAAAGAAGCAGGAACAAATGACTGTTACCAGGCAAGAGAAGTAACAATAGCAAAGATAGCAAATCAGCTGTAAAGGCTTCCAGTTCTATTTCAGTGGTAAAGATGAGCCTGAAGCACTCAATCACCAGATCAACCAGAATGTAAAGGATGATGCTGTTGACCTTTTCTGACCCTTGTGACTTCAATCAACTAAAGCTTGGACTCTGTCGACCTTTGCCCAATTCTATGCTGAATTCTCCTCTGCTCAAGCCCCTACATAAATATGCATGTACCTTTAGCTTAAGTGGAGACACTTCTTTGGGAAAGATCCCCAGTGTGCTCCTTACTTGCCTAAGTCCTTCCTTCTCCTGCTCTTTGGCTTGGTTGTGTCTTTTGGCTCAACACCCACCAAGAGGTGAACCCAGTTTTTGGGTAATAGTGTTAGTTATTTGGATAACATCTACAGTGTTTTGTGTCATATAAGACAATATTGATGTAGATACTGACAGAAGATTCATCTTGTAAACAGACAACATAAACTTACAGTATCAATAAGTATAGTATAGTACTGGAAATTTTTTTCTACTTTATGATTTTCTTAATAAAATTTTCTGTAGCTTCATTATAAGAATAGAGTATACATTACATATAGCATACAAAATATATATTAATGGACTATTTATGTCATCAGTAAGGCTTCCAGTCAACAGTAGGCTTTTAGCAGTATGTTTCGGGGGAGTGAAAAGTTATATGCAGATTTCTGACCGTGTGGGGTAGGCACCCCAAGCCCCCACATTGTTCAAGGGTCAACTATATTTTCATTTAATAAAAAAATTTTTTAGTGCCTACAATATATAAAGCAACTCTCCAGGTACTATAAGGGTAATAAAGATGAAACTGATCCAGACCATCTCTTCAGAAGCCAATGGTGGTCGACAGATGAATGGATAAAGAAGATGTGGCACGTATATACAATGGAGTATTACTCAGCCATAAAAAGAAATGAAATTGAGTTATTTGTAGTGAGGTGGACGGACCTAGAGTCTGTCATACAAAGTGAAGTAAGTCAGAAAGAGAAAAACAAATACCGTATGCTAACACATATATATGGAATCTAAAAAAAAAAAGGTTCTGATGAACCTATGGGCAGGACAGGAATAAAGACACAGATGTAGAGAATGAACTTGAGGACACCGGGAGGGGGAAGGGTAAGCTGGGACGAAGTGAGAGAGTAGCATTGATATATATACACTACCAAATGTAAAATAGATAGCTAGTCGGTGCTTTGTGATCACCTAGAGGGGTGGGATAGGGAGGGTGGGAGGGAAATGCAAGAGGGAGGGTGTATGGGGATATATGTATGCATGTACCTGATTCACTTTGTTATACAGCAGAAACTAACACAACATTGTAAAGCAATTATACTCCAATAAGGATGGTTAAAAAAAAAAAAAAGAAGCCCAGGGGCCCGGGGAATCTCTCCTTCTACCCACAGTGGTGGGACTTCCCTGGTGGTCCAGTGGTTAAGACTCTGCACTCAATGCAGGGGGTGCAGGTTCGATCCCTGGTTGGGGAACTAAGATCCCGCATGCCACACAGTGGGGCCAAAAAAAAGGAGAGAAGCTGACGGCCTTGCAGGGGAGGTGGAGCACACTCGTAAATAATTACAATGCCAGGTAAAATTATGATCTGCCAGGAATGTGCTGTTGTGTTATTTATAGTTCTTTCCAAATTAGTTTATTTTTCTTTCAAAACTGGTAGTCTATAGTTAAGCGATTATCCAGTATATTAGAACTCCCTGTTCCCTAACTATTCTAGATAAATGAAAGGTTACATTCCTCGATATCAGTGACATCAGGTATTACTAGCAGCCATCAGCATTGTCTGAGAGTCATTCTTCTCATTCAATGACAGGACTGTACCATCCCAGCAAGGTCTTATTGACAGCACCACATCACCTTCTTTGGACATACAATTCACCTGAACTGGATGGGCGAGGAGGATGGATCAGATAATATGGAAACTTGAACTGTGGTGGGGAGGCTGAGGGCATGCCTTCAGGAAGTTGGATACTTGTGTGGGTGGCAACACAAAAATAGATGGGCCATGTTATCAAGTGACAACCAGAAATGGGGTCAGTATAGGCACACAGATTGTCCCTGGCTCTACAGAATGGGTCTGTCTGAACAGATAGTGGATCTGTGGGGGAGAAGGCTGTAGGGGCAGGAAGAGGATCTGTCTGTCCACTCCATAGATGTGACCACTATGTGATGGTGTGAATTGACTCTTTTATTCTGATTTGGGCTCTATTTTTATCTCCATTTTAAAAGAAAAACAAATTAATGTATTAATTTATATAACCACCATCGAAAGATCATTAAGGAAATATGTCCTTCATATATTAGGAATAGTGCTGTCAGAGAAGGTTGGACTAAAGCCTTTGAATCAAGAATCCAGGGCTTCCCTGGTGGAGCAGTGGTTAAGAATCTGCCTGCCAATGCAGGGAACATGGGTTCGAACCCTGGTTTGGAAAGATCCCACATGCTGCGGAGCAACTAAGCCCGTGAGGCACAACTACTGAGCCTGCGCGTCTAGAGCCTGTGGTCCGCAACAAGAGAAGCCACGACAATGAGAAGCCTGCGCACCGCGATGAAGAGTAGCCCTCGCTCGCCGCAACTAGAGAAAGCCCGCGCACAGAAACGAAAACCCAACACAGCCAAAAGTAAATTAAAAAAAAGAATCCAGAATTCAATGCTGTTACCATTGACATACAGCACAGCCACAAATTAGCATCAAAATATACATCTTACACATTTCCTTATTTACATCTTTTGCCTTGAGAATTTGATGATAAAAATACTTTTTAGATGTGGACATGGTTCCCTTAAAATTAAATGTTGTAAATCATTAATTTAAACAAAGTTGATCTATGAGTTAATACGGGAGCTTGTAATGTTAACCTCTTTGCATTTCAAGCCCCAGGACTGGGATCATGGCTCTGACTCTAAGGGAAACGATGTGGACAGAGGGGTCTGTTTTGTCCCACGGCCCCTCGAAACCTCAGCTGACCCAAGGACCTCTCCACAAAGACCAATGCAGCACACGCCCAGGGGCCCGGGGAATCTCTCCTTCTACCCACTTGGTCCATTTTGGGGAGGCAATAGTAGGGGTACCCAACCTAGGGTCACCACCTAGAGCTTTGGTATCTGCTTTTTTTATGGGAGCTCAGCCTCTTGAGTAAAATATTTAATTACAGAGCTTATTCATTTGGTTTCTGGCCTTTACACCTACTGGAGACCACGCCTACTGCCCAGAGTAAGTAAGTTATTTGTGGGAGGCAGCAGACATAACACTTGAAATCGCTCATGCCTCTGTGCCTTGTAGCTGAAGTGAAATTATTTATGGTATCCAGATTTGTGCCATCTCCAGTATTAACTCACACTTTTGGCTGATTTATTATTTGGCCAGATAGCATTTGCTCTTAGGTCTTGGCAAGAGGCCCCTCCCTGGGGCCCACTCTTTAGAGAGCTCTACTGTTGCTCTCTTCTGGTCATTTCTCTTCACTGGGTGAGGAATCCAGAGGCCAAGTGATTTATTCACTCAGATCCTTGCTCTGCTTTTAGGTCCAGAATTCCCTGCCAAAGTCCCTGCTTCCAGGACTGGTATGAACCTCTTTTCCTGATCTACCCTTCCAAAGGGAGACCGTGCCATTGGTGTGGTACCACAGGCCCAAAGCGGTGGCTGTGAGGGGGTGCCGATGTGGCAGGAGCTTGGACGTATGTGGGGTGGGATCATCGTCGTGTGTATATAAGGCCCTTTATGATATGGGCCAGGCCTGCGAGTGGGAAATGACATCAGGCCAGAAGTGCTTTCCTGGAACCACCACATTCTGGTGTGGAGCTCTGAGGAGTTTTGCATCAATCAAACTGATTTTATAGGTCATTATAAACATATATCTGTCAAGGTAGGAAAGGCTAACTGGCCTGTCAAGGCTAACTTGTTAGCTTCAGCTATAATTGTTTTATATTTACACACATGATATGTGGGCCACCATTTTTCCTATTCCCCACATGCCACAAATATGGGACTAGGCCTGCTCTTGGAAGAGGTTCAATTCTGAGTTCATTTAAAATTTTAATATAAAGGATCTGGTAAGAGACGGGTGAAGTGTGGGTAGTGGGTAGGCGGCTTTCCGCCAGGTCAAATGTGACACTGCTACAACTGCCCACATTTCCTGGCCTGCTCTCTGGCCTGGCAGGAGAAACCTTATGTGCATGTGTGTTTAACATCCACTGAGAGCCAGAGAAATATGACTTGGCTGTTTTCAAAGAATTCAAGCCCCACACTGTGCTCTGGTTGTGACAGCTGCCGTTCCCCTGCCAAGCAACTCTTCCCAGCTGACTTCCTTAAGCTGTTTGGAGTTAAGAGCTGGGCACTTTGAAGGCCTCTTCCAGGCCAAAAAAGAATGAACTAGAAAGGGAATTGGGGCAGCCTTCCTCGGTTGAACACCACTTCACTTCAGCAAACCCCTAAGCCTTGCTATCTGTTTTGTCAGCTGTAAAATGAGCAAGCTATTTCAGCCCTGCCTCAGAGGGCACCAAGCGGCGGGTTTAATTAATGATGAATGTGATGGGCTTTGTCATGTAAAGTCATATATAAATGAAAAGGAGCACTGGAGCTATTTTATCCAAAATCTGGAGTGCATCCTGCTTTCCACTGCCATCGATAAGACTTTACGTCCTGATCACAGACCGCTGCAGACTTCAGGGGTGCAGAAGAACGCAGCTGGGCTCGCCTTACCTGAACAGAAAGCAGGGTTTGGTCGCGGAAGTGGAGCACAGAGCAAGCAATCGGTGCATGGTTCAGATTTCTGACAGCAGGCAGCACTGAGATCCACTGGGTCCAGCTGGCGGCAGACGATGGACTGGTTTCTGCAATCAAAGTACAAAGAACAGGTGTACCCATTTATTCCTGGGACTGTTCTGGAAAGATCCTTGAGATTGAAAGTGTCACGTTGAGGGGAGAGTTCTTTCCAAAGATCTCCCCTGCCTCTCCCCCTGTTGTTCCTGCCTCGGTTTGCTGGCTGACAGCTCACAGCAGTGGTGTTTTCTTCAGGGACAGTGTTTACTGAGAACAGGCCACAAGGATCAGTCCTGTCTAGGATCCATTTCTTCCTTTAGTCTTGTGTCTTATTCATAAGGATCACAACCCACAGTTCACTTAAAGACACGGGTACATGATTAACCAGAAGTTGTACTGGTCCTGCTGAGAACTGTTGATTACTTTGGCTAACAGGGGATTTCTGTTCCCTGACATGATTCAGCTAACAGCAGCAAATCGTAACTTTTATATACTTAGTAGACATGATCATTCCTTCCCTTCATCTCCTAGAGCTAGGATGTTACTGGAATGAGACACCATATTCAGCGTTCTAACTATTTTGTACCGCCTCTTGTTAAGGATTAGATGACCTTGAGCTCCTTGAGAAACCCAAGAGGGTCGTAATCATTTTTGCATTACCCTTGACATTAGTGCCTTCCTTATAGGAGACAAAAACAAAAACAAAACCCCCAAGAACTTGTTCAGATGCATTGAAAATGAAAACTCCTCATGAGATAAAAAATGATAGGAACTCCCACTGTCCATTAGGGAGCTTCATTTTCAATTTTTTACAAAAATTTCTTGTTGGATGATCTAAGTATTTTATATTGGTTAAGGTCTTCAGCTTCAGCCAGACTTGGGCTTATATGCTTGTTCTGCAAGTTACCATTCGTGGGACCTTAACTAGCTTGGTGCCTTAGTTTCTTCATCTGTAAAGTGGGGAAAATAATACTATCTATCCCAGCGGTCCCCAACCTTTTTGGCACCAGGGACCGGTTTCGTGGAAGACAATTTTTCCACAGAGTGGGATGTGGAGCGGAGGGTGGGGGAAAGGTTTCGGGATGATTCAACCACATTCCATTTATTGTGTACTTTATTTCTATTATTATTACATTGTAATATATAATGAAGTAATTATACAACTCACCATAATGCAGAATCAGTGGGAGCCCTGAGCGTGTTTTCACTTGCCACTCACTGATAGGGTTTTGATATGAGTCTACAAGCAGTTGATTTATTATGGTCTCTGTGCAGTCAAACCTGTCTGCTAATGATAATCTGTATTTGCAGCCACTCCCCAGCACTAGCATCACCGCCTCAGCTCCATCTCAGATCATCAGGCATTCGATTCTCATGAGGAGCGCGCAGCCTAGATCCCTCACATGCGCAGTTCACAGTAGGGTTCGCGCTCCTATGAGAATCTAATGCCACCGCTGATCTGACAGGAGGCGGAGTTCAGGCGGTAATGCGAGCGATGGGGAGCGGCTGTAAATACAGATGAAGCTTCGCTCACTCGCCTGCCGCTCACCTCCTGCTGTGAGGCCCGGTTCCTGACAGGGTTGGGGACCCCTAATCTATCTCATAGAGAAATTATAAAGATTAAATGTGATAATCTATGCAAAGTGTTTAGCACAGTGCCTGGCACAAAATCAGTGCTCAGATAATACCATCCTCCTCCTCCTCCTCCTCATCATCATAGTTAGAGATTATAGGGGAAGGAGTCTCGGTTGCTCTCAGAGCCTAAGAGTACAGCCTTCAGATTTAGTAACCTGCCCCATGGTTCCATTAATGTTACCTTATTAATCTGAAGCAGGAGCCCATGTAAGTCAGAACCTCCAGATTTTCTGCTTCTAGTCTTTGATTTCAGGTTTTATTCTTTGGATACCTAGAGAAGTATGAATAAGATAGCTTTCATTCAGACATAATTTGAGGGCTGTTTAAAAAGGCACTTTGCAAATTAACTTCTTGTACATATGCCTCAGTAATTCTGTTGGTTGTAAAATATATTGTTAGGCGATGTAGATCCTTGTAAACAGGCTCATTTCCAATGTCCTTGGTGGGTCTTTTGTTTAAACTGGTTTCTCCCCTTAATGTGTGGTCCCTAGATTTGAAAATAAAAGTTTTTGTTGCAGACATTCATCATCAATGAAGTTCATGATGAAGGCCTTTTCACTTAACAAACTATGTTTAGGTACTGTTCAGTGTTTGAAGGCAGAGCTACAGTGAGGCAGCCTGAACGGGAGGACTTAGAGATACTGGCTGCCTTGACAACAGTTTGGAGGGAGTAGGCACCTTAGGGGGTCTTAGTTCAGTCTGTGCCTCCTTTTTAAAGAGCTTCTGTGCATCCACTTCCACAGGGGTGGGCCCCAGGAGTCACTACCACCCCAAGTGCCTACGGCTGATTGGAGGAGACGCTCCTGACCCAAGCTGAGATTCTGTCTGCAGGACGTCTGGAATGCGGACACAACCCTTCTGGTCAGTCACTATTGGCCTAGATCTAGGACAGCATACAATAAGGGGCTGGCATGGCCATTTTCACGATGTACTCTGGGAGGCAGAAAAAACTGGAATGTAGCAAAAGATGACTAAAAGCATCAGGGAGAAGTAGAGATGAGAAACCAGGTCGCCCCTGGGAGAAAAGGGGAGGTGGCAAGAGAATAGCTGTCTGCGTTCCCATGGGCCTCTCAGGGCTTTGTTCTAACCCCCTTGAGGCCCAGCTGCCCTTCCGGCTCTGGCCCATGTCCAGTCCACTCTCTGTTTTAGCTCAGGCAACCTTGAACTGTATCTGTTACGTGAAACCCAAGAAGCCTTGGCTGAGTGAGTGAGCTGGCACCGAGAGAGAGGCCACAACAGGCGGGGTCCACATGGGGATGCCCACCCAGGGGGATCCCATCACACTGGCCTGCCAAAATCAGACATGCATACAAGTAATTTTTGCTGATGACAAAACTGAATAGAACAGATTCACAGTTATTCCAAAACAGTGTTCTCTCCTAGTCACTTCCTGAAATGCTTTTTTGTGTAGTAGGAAGCAGCTGGCATTATAGATGGCACACCCATAATTGCGTCTAACCCTGAATATTTTTAAAGGGGTACGTGTACCTACAGCTGTCATTGGTCATGCATGTTGCAGGAAACAAAGCAAAACACAACGCGATAGGCACCGGTCTCTTCTAAGGAGCTATCAGTCCGCATTACTGTGCCACTTGACATTCATCTATAGCTTTGGCCTTCCCCCAGATTCAGGGCCCAATCCTGTCTCTAGCTGAAGGCTTTAAGGAGCCCTGTTTCAGTAGTTCAGGGGACAAAGTTAGGATATCCTGTGACTTGTCCTGCTCTGATCAAATGCCCTGGTTCTGGCCTCTGGGCTTTTGCCTTCAACCAGGCATCGAGTCCCTGTTCTAATTCCCTGTTGTAGAGCCTGAGTTCTCGATTCCTCAGGCTTTAGCTCCTGCCTCCATAACCTGACCAGAACCCTGGTCTCTTCAAAATCAGGACTCTAACTTGCTTACGTCTATTTTCTCCAGGTGACACCCCTTAAAGGCAGACTGAGCTGGGAGCTTGCTGTCACTTGTCCTGTCTGTCCCACACTGCCCACACTGTCTAGGTCACTCCCACTGTTTCTCCCATTCCCCCACCCCCACTTTCACCACTGCCAATAATCATATTTGCTCCATGTATGGGACACCTACCTTTTGCTACCTTCTAGGTCTTTCTAACACTGAATCTCTCTCAATTATCATGTCACCTGTTACTCCTCTCAGGACCCATGTGGTCCTGCAGCTCTGCCTGCCTGGCAGACCTCCTCCACTGATTTCAGCTGGGCACCAATCACAAAGCCTTGCACACAGCAAGGTGACAGGGAGGCGGGGTGGCATGGTGGAATGAGCATGACATGAACATGGGCATCCCGAGCAGACCTGGGTTCAAATTCTTGCTCCTCCACTTGCACCTGTTCCCTAATGCCTGTAGGACTCAAAGGTACAAGGTATTGTTGAAAGAATTATATTATGAGATAATGTGCCTGTCAAAATATAGTAGTTATTTTATAAAATACCAAATTTAGCTTTTTTTGGGGGGGGGCAGGGCCTGCACCGTGCAGCATGTGGGATCTTAGTTCCCCGACCAGGCATCAAACCTGCATCCCCTGCATTGGAGGCGTGGAGTCTTCACCACTGGACTGCCAGGAAAGTCCCCACCAAATTTAGCATTTAATAAAACACATCTGTCTTTCTTTCTTGAACTTATATTTCTAACAGCTTTATTGAGATATCCACATATCATTCAACCCACTGATTTAAAGGGTACAATTCAATGGTTTTTAGTATATTCACTGGACTTAGATTTCTTAAAATGTAATTATAGCATAAGGGATATGAGGATTAATAAGTTAAAAAGATGTAGGATTTTAGTCAGCTATAATTTTATATAAATCAAGAGTGTGATGCCATTGCATTGCCAAAAAACTTATGCGATTTTGGGCTGTACAGATACACATGTGATGATAAGAACAAGATGGATAGTGGTTCCCTGTTATTCTGAGCAGGACATGTGTTCAGTCCTTGGGCCTAGTTTAAGAGGGATATGGGCAAATTGGAGCATGTCCAGAGAAACATGAAAAGGGTGACGAGAAACAGCAAATACTGTTTGTAGGAACCTATGATATTCACCCTGGAGAAGTAAATCCAAAGAGGAAATGAAACCCCATCCTCAATTAGCTCTGGGTTGTCATCTGGAAAATGAATGACATGTATTTTCTATGTTCTTTCGCTAGGCCAGAACCTCAATAAGTGAATTTAAGTTAAAAGCAAGCAGACTTTTTCTTTTTAACATCTTCATTGGAGTATAATTGCTTTACAATGTTGTGTTAGTTTCTGCTGTATAACAAAGTGAAACAGCTATATGCATACGTATATCCCCATATCCCCTCCCTCTGCGTCTCCCTCCCACCCTCCTTATCCCACCCCTCCTAGTGGTCGCAAAGCACCGAGCTGATCTCCCTGTGCTATGCAGCTGCTTCCCACTAGCTAGCTATTTTACATTTGGTAGTGTATATATGTCAATGCTACTCTCTCACTTTGTCCCAGCTTACCCTTCCCCCTCCCCTTGTCCTCAAGTCCATTCTCTACGTCTGTGTCTTTATTCCTGTCCTTCCCCTAGGTTCATAAGAACCATTTATTTTTTTAGATTCCATATATATGTGTTAGCATACGGTATTTGCTTTTTCTCTTTTTGACTTACTTCACTCTGTATGACAGAATGTATGTAGGTATGACTACAGAGTGTATGTATGTATGACATCCGCCTCACTACGAACAACTCAACTTCATTTCTTTTTATGGCTGAGTAACATTCCATTGTGTATATGTGCCACATCTTCTTTATTCATTCATCTGTCGATGGACACTTAGGTTGCTTCCATGTCCTGGCTGTTGTACATAGAAGCAAGCAGATGTTGACATGATATAAAGGAGCAACTAAAGCTGTCTAAAATTGGAGTGGATTGTCCCTTCCTAACCTGAAATTCTGTATTTAATATATTACCTCTTAATAGCAAGTCAGAGAGCTACACCTTATAGAGCTTTGACTCTGTTATGTGTCGAGCTCAGGTGGGTAAAATGATCAAGTAGGTCACCCCTTGTTTACTTAAGGCCAATCATTCACTTTGGGTGAGTCTAGTAGTCCATTCTTCCTCCCATTTTTCATTCCCACTCTCTGCTTTTTGATCAGAGGAAAGAGAAAAGGAAGCCCCAAATCATCAATATGGGTATTTTATTAGCACTTCTGATGACAATGGAAATATTTCTAAAATAAGACTTCGGCATTACCTGATCAGGATATTGTGCTCATCTCTTCCCTGCTCTGTGTGAGGGACTGCATCTTAGCACTTGAAACTGGCCATGGTGGAAACATCTACAGAAATTAGCAAATACGGCAGACCATCTTCCCCCACTCCCCCCAGCTCATCGACCAGTGCCCACTGCTTTAGCATCCACACCAGCCAGTGATGACAGAGCTGGCACTGTTAATAATGATGACAGACCTTCTACTAGATTTTTGGACCATGTGTCTCTATAAGAAATACATTTATAGACAACGGTATTTAACTTTCATATAAGGGCAATTTGGAATTTAAGTAGTTTAGTGTAATTAACTAGTTTCAGATGAGTGGAATATTTAGGGGAAAGTATTTGGGAAAAGCTGGACTCATTCTCAACTGCTTTCTAGACCACATCTCTTTTTTCTTTAAAGAAGCCCCATAATAACCATGGTCTGTATATTTGAAGAGTCTGTTATGCACAGCTACTTATGGAGTGACCATGTGACAGACTAGGAAGACATGTCCAAGATGAAGGCCCTCTGGAAGTGGGAAGATAAAGCTCTCTGCTGGCCAGTACTCCTTGTGCCACCTATTGGATTTTGAAAGAACAATCTCTCAGCTTTTGATTCAAAGGTAAGACTCCAGCAAGTATTTTCTGCAGATGGAACATATTCGTAATCTTCCTTAAGGCAGAACTATTGTAAAAACTTTGCATTGCACGCGTTGTTATGAGGGAAATCACCATCAGCCCAAGATCCCCAGGGCCAACTGGTTTCTTTACCATCAACAAGCTCCAGGAATTATAGTCGGCATTTATTGAGCACTCGCAGTATACTATGCACCTTACAAGCATTCTCTCATTTTATCTTCATCTAACCTTATGTAATGGGTATAAATATTTTCATTTTACAGATGGGGAAACAACTTCAAGTGGTTAAGTGGCTATTAGAGTTAAAAAGTTTCTGTGATCCTAGGAAACAGGATTTACATTGCCTACTGCTTTGTATACAGCAGACATTCCATACATAGTTGAATCCGTTTTTTAATGTGAATAAATAGAGCACCATTCTTCTTAATACTTTGAGCCCTTTGACCTATTAGCCTTTTAAGCAGCTTTTATCTAATGGAAAATCAGAATGATTTTCATTTATTTTGCTTCTACATACATTCCAAGGGCAGAGCTCCCTGTAATATCTCATTAACCCTACAATGACATAGAATTATTTTCCCAATTTTAGAAACAAGTTAATGGAGGCTTAGCTGGAATTAGGTTGTCTTTTGATGTTTTCATCACACCAAGTCAAGGGAGAGGAAAGACCAAAGGCATGCATTAAGAAGAACCTAGTTCCTACTGTATAACACAGGGAACTATATTCAACATTCTGTGATAAGCCATAATAGAAAAAATAGGAAAAAGAGCGGATATATATGTATAACTGAATCGCTTTGCTGTACAGTAGAAATTAACACAACATTGTAAATCAACTATACTTCAATAATAAAAAAAAAAAGAACCTAGTAAAGTTATGACCAGAAAAAAGGGTTCTAGATAAACCCGGAGGGAAACAGTCCTCAGAGAGTGACCACAAGTCAGTTCTGCTGAGTATGTCACTCAATGGACAGAGTTCTGTGCTTACTAAGCACTGTAGTAGGCATGGGGGAGATAAGACCAAATCCTGATTTTGAGAAGCCTATGGGCTTTTAGGGAAGAGAAGACAGAGACACATATACATAAGGAAAGTGAATTTGCAGTACGAGAGACTAAAAAGGAAAAGCAGACAAGACAGCGGTGGTCATTGAGAAGCAATTAACACAGGCAATAAGCATTGCAGGAGTTCAGAAAAGGGAGCGATTATATTTGCATAAATTTACACTGACCTCAGCATCTTCACTATGAGCTGTGGGAAGACAATGAAGTTTGAGAGAGCACCTGGCTTCCAAGGAGCTAGCTCACTTTCTTCCCTGGAGACTTGAGCAGATCATGAGAGGGTTTGCAGGAAGTAGCCAGAGAGATGAGGAGAAGACCAGAGACCTGATGATCAAGACCAGCAAGATGGTGCTGGGACAGCTCACGTGGCTACTGAGCCTGGATGTTCTGAATTATTAATGATGTTTCTCTCTCTGTATTTTTCCCGCTTTCTACCTTTAAGCAAAAGTAGCCTGGAGTTCCTCCTGGACTTTGCTTTTGAAATTTTTAAGCCCTCCAGAGAACTCTCAACCTTGGCTCCTCTTGGAATCACCTGGGGAGTTTTTAAAACACTGCCACCTGGGTCCCACCCCCAAATACTCTAATTGACCTAGGGTGCTCCTTTGGTGATTCTAATGAGCAATCAAGTTTGAGTATCATTGACTTAAAGGGTTCCTTGACATGATAAGAGAGAATGAAATTTGCTAGAATGAACAAAGTATCTCGGAGAAACAGGAGAGGTGGGGAACTTCCCTGCTCCAATCTAGAGAAATAGCCTTGATTTGCTACTCTGGAGTACTAGGAATCTGGGTCGGGCTTCCCCACAGCCCCATGGGGGAGGTAGGAAGACTCCAGAGAGAGTGGCTGTGTGGTGGCCAGGGCTTCTCACACTGGGATATACACACAGATCACAGGGGATCTTTTTAAAATGTAGTTTCTGACTCAGTAGGTCTGGATGGGGCCTGAGAGTCTGCATTTCCAAAAAGTTCCTAGGTGATCCCAATGCTGCTGGTCCACAAACTGGCAAAGAACTGCATAGCCAAGACCTAGGCCGTCTACCTTAAGATTCTCGTATCCATCTAAAGCAACAAATAGGAGGAGCCATGACCCGTCAAACCTGAAGGGTTCCACAGACAGGGACAGTAGACATCTGTGCAGTGACCTGGTTAGACTGACAACCAAGAAGCAGATGGACCCCATCTGCAAAGCCTTCTAGACTAAAAGGGGAGCATATCCTGTCAGGGGGTACTGGCAGATCACAGATGACCCATTCAAAAGGGGTCTAGAAACCAGAGGGCAAGAGAAGCCAGCTGATATGGCCCATCAAAGTCAGCCTCCTGGGCACAGAGCAGGGTGAAGGGTGGGCACAGACCTGGTGGGGGACACATACAGGAAACTTAGCACAATCCTCAAGAATGAGGTGAAGTGTTCGCCAGGCCAGTTATCTTAGTCTGTTTGGGCTGCTATAACAAAATACTATGGACTGGGTAGTTTAAACACTAGACATTTATTTCTTACAGTTCTGGAGGCTGGGAAGTCCAGGATCCAGGCATCAACAGACTTGGTGTCTAGTGAGAGCCTGCTTCTTGGTTTATGGATGGCATACTTCTGTGTCCTTTCACGACAGAAGGAGTGAGGGAGCTCTCTGGGGCCTCTTTTTTAATGGCACGAATTCTATAATGGAGTAGGACCCTATGGGGCCTTCCCGGAACAGACCCCCCCACCCGCTCAATGTCCTCCCCCCGCCTCTTGTTTGTAGAAAAGCTGTAGTCTCCCAGGCCTCCGCTGAGTCACAAAAGCCTGCCTCAAGAATTAATGATTGAAAGGATGTGAACATGTAATGACAAAAATAGCAAATTTAAACAGTCAAACAGCCATATGGCAGTCACAGAATTTTTAGTTCCTCCCTGAAGTACCTGAATAACAATATCTGATGCACATTTCCTGAGTTGTTTTACAGATGCTAAAATCGCCACTAAATGGAAGAAGTTAACTACTTGATGACCATAAGCACTTAGCCCCCAGACCTACTGGAGCCTAAGGATTGGTAATGTTGATCCCTGTGAACCCACCCTGTTACCTCACCATCAACCACAACTCTTCGATTCACACACCCTGTGACTCCCCTCCCTCACCTTGCCTTTAAAAATGCTCCCTTGAGGGGCTTCCGGGGTGGCGCAGTGGTTGAGATTCTGCCTGCCGATGCAGGGGACACGGGTTCGTGCCCGGGTCTGGGAATGATCCCACACGCCGCGGAGCGGCTGAGCCTGCGCATTCGGAGCCTGCGCTCCGCAACGGGAGAGGCCACAACAGTGAGAGGCCCGCGTGCTGCAAAAAAAAAAAATGCTTTCTTGAAACCCACTGGGGAGTTCAGGTCTTTTGAGCACAAGTGGCCTGTTCTCCTTGCTCAGCCCAGCAATAAACCTTTCTTTGCTCCCATCCCAACTCCAACATTTCAGTTTGTTTGGCCCCACTGCGTGTCGGGCACACGAACTTGGGTTTGACAACAATTCCAACACGAGGGCTCCATCCTAATGGAGCCTCCCAAAGGCCCCACCCTCCAATACCATCACATTGGGGGTTAGGATTCAACATATGAATTTTGTGGGGGATGCAAACATTTGGTCTATAGTACCAGCCCAATGGGGGCTCAGCCTCAGTCAGAAATTAAGTTGGTATGGAAAATAAAGAAAATGACACCAGCGTTTGCATCTGAGACTCTTACCCCTTAAGATTGGAGCTTACCTGAAGTGTCAAGGATCCTCATGAGTGGCAGATGAATCGCAACCCGAACAGCAGAGCTTTGGGGATAATATTTGTGAACCTGTTGGAGAACTGATGTGCAGAGAAGAGGTGGGTTTCAGAAGTTGCTGCTGCTTTCAGGAATGTGTTGAGAATAAGCCACACGTGCTTTGCAACCTGCCAACAGGTGGACAATAGAAGGAAGAGAAAAAGAATGCTGCCTTGTTAAAGTTTTGCTGACAATGTGGATTTCTTTGAGCTTCTCAGAAAAATACTTAGAAAGGCAGGGGTAAGAAAAGTTAACTTTAGGGCCCCACCTCACACCCTGAATTTCTTAAACATCAAGACTAAACTAAACCTCTGACCATCTTTCTCAGAAAAGAAGGGCACAAGCCTGAGGAACTCCAACCTAGGGGAAAGTGGCTAACTGACCTATTTAGAACTGGTTTTGGCCGGCTTGAAATTTAGCATCACTGGGTTCCTGGCTTACCCTGAACACCTGTGAGTTTTCCCAGCGTCTGAAGTTTGGCAAAGGAGGAAGGGGGTGGAAATGGCCGCACACTTTTAAGGTGAAGTGCTGAAAAGGAGGGTTCAGCAGCACCTTCTCAGACCTGGCCAGATGAAACAGCTGGAAAGTCTCTAGTTGCAGAGAGCGGGAGTTATTCTTCGTTAAGGTGCGCCGGCTTCTCATTGCAGTGGCTTCTCTTGTTGTGGAGCACGGGCTCTAGATGCGCGGGCTTCAGTAGTTGTGGCATACGGGCTCAGGAGTGGTGGCTCGAGGGCTGTAGAGCGCAGGCTCAGTAGCTGTGGCGCACGGGCTTAGTTGCTCCGCGGCATGTGGGATCTTCCCAGACCAGGGCTCGAACCCACGTCCCCTGCGTTGGCAGGCGGATTCTTAACCACTGCGCCACCAGGGAAGTCCCCAGCACACAGAATTTCAACTGGCACTTCTCAGTCCTTTGGGAAGCCAGGCAGGAGCTCCTTGTGCAGGCCCTGAGAGTAGGCTGCCAAGGCAAAGGGACTCTGTGTCCCTGCACCTGCCTGCATGTCCCTTTACCTGCCATCAGTGCAAGGGCCTGGGGACATGTTACAAGAAACTGAGCTTTGGACGAGGAGGCAGAGTTATAAATAGAGTCCAGGTCTTCTTGACCTTGAGTTTTATTTCTCACACTATTACAGTGTCTCAGAAGTTGAAGGCTTTTGACAATGTGACTGTACTGGGCATTGGTTAAGTAACTGAAGCAATAACTAGGCCTGATGATTAGAAATTGTTCTGAGACCTACTACACATCAAGTGCCAAAATAAATTCCAGGTTAGGGAGTTCTGTGGTGGGCTAGTGGTTAGGATTCTGGGCTTTCACTTCCATGGCCCAGGTTCAATCCCTGGTTGGGGAACTGAAATCCTGCAAGCTGAGCTGCACGGCAAGAAAAAAAATTCCAGGTTAATTAAAAAGTTAAAGAATAAATACTACAACAAAAGAATTAAAAGAAAGCATAGGCAAATATTTAGCTGATCCTAAGGGGGCCAAGGCCTGTCTAAACACAATAGCAAAAAGGAAAAAAATTATAGATTTGAAATATATATAAATTCCTCTATGATTAAAAAATTGCCAAAATTTAATAGGAAAAAAGTTGAGAAAATATTTGCAGTATCTATGATCAGTGGTTAATATCGTTAATCTAGAAGGATACATAAAGAAATAGATGATCATCTCACTTTAGAAGTGCTAATGGCCAATAAGCATTTGAAAAATATTAATGAAGACAACAGTGAAATATGATAAAAAATGTTTTGCGATGGTTAATTTTATGTGTATTTTACTACAATAAAAAATGGGGGCTTCCCTGGTGGCGCAGTGGTTGAGAGTCCGCCTGCTGATGCAGGGGACACGGGTTCGTGCCCCGGTCCGGGAAGATCCCACATGCCAAGGAGCAGCTGGGCCCGTGAGCCATGGCCGCTGGGCCTGCACGTCCAGAGCCTGTGCTCCGCAGCAGGAGAGGCCACAACAGTGAGAGGCCCGCGTACCGCAAAAAAAAAAAAAAAAAAGGTAGGGAAAAGGATATAGTTATGTGCAAAGAACTGAAATCTTAGGTAGGAAGAAGAGATTAAAGAGCTTACAGGAAAGTGAATTTCCTTTAATACTCAGTCTTATCCCTGCATGTGTTTGGAGACTTTCCAGAGAGTAGTTCCCAAACTCTAGTAGATGGTGAAGTGTTTTTACTACTCTATGGGGAAATGAGAAGACAGCATAGTCAGCTTTTCCAAAAGTTAAACATTTTCAGTGTTTACCATGAGCGTAGTCTTTCACACCTGTTTGTTATTACAGGCTTTTTTTTTTTGTAATTTGTAGTGATAGTGTAAGATAACTTTTTTGAGAAAGAGAATATGTATGGGTCTCTAAAATGTCTGCATCTGGCTCACAAGAGAGCTGACAACACAACGTTCTCCCTCAAATTAGGGGAAGACAGTGACAAGTCCAGACACTTGCAAACAACTACTCTTAATTTTCATGGAAGACTTACAACAAAGTTTCACTTACTATTCCATAATACATATTATAACAAAATACCATTTACTTCTTTTGGATTGACTGAGATAGGGAAAAACATAATATCCAGTATTGTCAAGGTTGTGAAGAAAGGGGCATTCTCAGACATTTACATCTGGATTGTAAGTTGGTTTGACTTTTCCGGAGGGTAATTTGGCAGTTTATATTATAAATCTTAAAATGTGCATAACTTTTGACTCAGCAATTCCTTTTTAGGAATATCCTAAGGATGATCAAGGATGGACACCAAGACTTATCTACAAGAATGTTTACTATAGCGTTATTTTAATAGTGAAAAATTGTGGGAATGGAGTATTGAGTGTTATATTTGACAGATTTGGGCGGTGGGTAGAGGGGTATTCATTATTGTATTAATTTTCTATTGCTGCTGTAACAAATTACTACATAAAGTTAGTGGTCTAAAACAACACAAATTTATGTGCAACATCATGGATGGACCTTGAGCACCTTATGCTAAGTGAGATAAGCCAGACAGAGAAAGACAAGTACTGTATATTATATGTACAATCTAAAAAAATCAAACTTGTAAAAAATACCCCAAGAAACAGAGTAAAATGGTGGTTACCAAGAAATGGGAAGTAGGGGGTAAGATTGATGGTGTTTAAGGGTACAAACTTGTAACGAGTACTAAAATAGCCATAAAGATTTTTTTAACATCTTTATTGGAGTGTAATTGCTTTACAATGTTGTGTAGTTTCTGCTGTATAACAAAGTGAATCAGCTATATGCATACATATATCCCCATATCCCCTCCCTCTTGTGCCTCCCTGCCACCCTCCTTATCCCACCCCTCTAGGTGGTCACAAAGCACCAAGCTGATCTCCCCAAATGATGCAGCTGCTTCCCACTAGCTATCTATTTTACATTTGGTAGTGTATATAAGTCCATGCCACTCTCTCACTTCATCCCAGCTTACCCTTCCTCCTCCCCGTGTCCTCAAGTCCATTCTCTATGCCTGTGTCTTTATTCCTGTCCTGCCCCTAGGTTCATCAGAACCATTTTTTCTTTAGATTCAATATATATGAGTTAGCATGTAGTATTTGTTTTTCTCTTTCTGACTTACTTCACTTTGTATGACAGATTCTAGGTCCATCCTCCTCACTACAAATAATTCAATTTCATTTCTTTTTATGACTGAGTAATATTCCATTGTATGTATGTGCCACATCTTCTTTATCCATTCATCTGTCGATGGACACTTAGGTTGCTTCCAGGTCCTGGCTATTGTAAAGAGTGCTGCAATGAACATTGTGGTATGTGACACATTTTGAATTATGGTTTTCTCAGGGTATATGCCCAGTAGTGGGATTGCTGGGTCATACGGTAGTTCTATTCTTAGTTTTTTAAGGAACCTCCATACTGTTCTCCATAGCAGCTGTATCAGTTTACATTCCCACCAACAGTGCAAGAGGGTTCCCTTTTCTCCACACCCTCTCCAGCATTTATTGTTTCTAGATTTTTTGATGATGGCCATTCTGACTGATGTGAGGTGATACCTCATTGTAGTTTTGATTTGCATTTCTCTACTGATTAGTGATGTTGAGCATCTTTTCATGTGTTTGTTGGCAATCTGTATATCTTCTTTGGAGAAATGTCTATTTAGGTCTTCTGCACATTTTTGGATTGGGTTTTTTTTTGATATTGAGCTGCATGAGCTGCTTGTATATTTTGGAGATTAATCCTTTGTCAGTTGCTTCATTTGCAAATATTTTCTCCTGAGGGTTGTCTTTTCCTCTTTTTTTATGGTTTCCTTTGCTGTGTTTCATTAGGTCCTATTTGTTTATTTTTGTTTTTACTTCCATTTCTCTAGGAGGTGGGTCAAAAAGGATTTTGCTGTGATTGATGTCATAGAGTGTTCTGCCTATGTTTTCCTCTAAGAGTTTTATAGTGCCTGGCCTTACATTTAGGTCTTTAATCCATTTTATTTTTTTGTATGGTATTAGAGAGTGTTCTAATTTCATTCTTTTACAGGTAGCTGTCCAGTTTTCCCAGCACCACTTATGGAAGAGGCTGGCTTTTCTCCATTGTATATTCTTGCCTCCTTTATCAAAAATAAGGTGACCATGTGGGCATGGGTTTACCTCTGGGCTTTCTATCCTGTTCCATTGATCTATATTTTTGTTTTTGTGCCAATACCATACTTAGCATACTGTCTTGATTACTGTAGATTTGTAGTAGAGTCTGAAGTCTGGGAGCCTGATTCCTCCAGCTCCGTTTTTCTTCCTCAAGATTTCTTTGGCTATTTGGGGTCTTTTGTATTTCCATAAAAATTGTGAAATTTTTTGTTCTAGTTCTGTGAAAAATGCCATTGGTAGTTTGATAAGGATTGCATTGAATCTGTAGATTGCTTTGGGTAGTAGAGTCATTTTCACAATGTTGATTCTTCCAATCCAAGAACATGGTATATCTCTCCATCTGTTTGTATCATCTTTAATTTCTTTCATCAGTGTCTTATAGTTTTCTGCATACAAGTCTTTTGTCTTCTTAGGTACGTTTATTCCTAGGTATTTTATTCTTTTTGTTGCAGTGGTAAATGGGAGTGTTTCCTTAATTTTTCTTTCAGATTTTTCATCATTAGTGTATAAAGAGTTAATGTAAAGTTTATTG